ATGAACCTCTTCCTCAAAAAGAGGGAAGAGTGAAGTAGACCAAAGGGCAGAAAAGCTGGCTTAAAATTTTTAATCTGTTCGCCTCAGAGGGGGAAAGAAATGAAAACTGTAGAATCACCTTGCCCTCATTTTCAAAATGTCTTGTGCTTTTGAAAATTGAAAACTTGGGTTTTTTAGGCATTTTGACCTAAACTTATGACTGTTTTGCATTGTGCAAAAATGCACGACAGGAATCTTTCCTTCAAGTGGGGAGACCATTCTTATAAACCAGAGCATTTGTTTTTAGGAAACCTAGTCCTTTGTGAGACTAGGTTAGACTATCATAAGTAATACGCAGTTGGTTTTATCCTACATGTCATTAAACAGTTTTATAACTCACACCTTAGATAAGCTGCTTATCTATACTGTATACAGTAAATGTTTGCTTTTTTAGTATTGAAGTAGTGTACTATAGCAAATGCAAAATTAATTTTGCTAAATTATGCTTATATTTACTAACCGTTTTAGTAACTTTAGAATGTATAATAAACACTGATAAGATTCTTTCAATTGTTTGAACACACCAGTACTTAAAAAATAAAATAAATAAATAAATAGGTCAATGAGGATATCTCTGGTTAATCTTTTACCTAATTAAGTCATCTTGCAAGCTCTTACAGCATGTCATCTGCTAACATCTTGGGAACATAACAATCAGGGTTCAGATGCAGTCACAACAGACTGTCCTAATGGCACTAAAAGATGACCTTATGGCGGTGGACATAGGCAGAATTTCCATGCTTATACTGCTGGACCTCTGGCAGAGTATTGCTAACCCAGCTACCTGATGTAGGCATAGCACTGCAGTGGCTCCAGTAGTTCCTCTCCAGGAGAACTGAGTGACAAAGGGTAACTGCTTGAGATGCACTTACTTGTGGAGTCCCAGAGGGATTCATGCCATCCCCCATTGTTTAATATCATATGTGAGATGCCACAAAGTTAGTGGCCAACAACATGACATGACACGCAACTGTGTTTGATTCATCACTCATGCAGTCACTGCCACAGCTAAGATGTCACAGGCCTACTAGGGATCACTGGATGAAAAGTAGCTGGTTCAAGTTGCACCAAGGTAACAGCATTGATGCTGGTTAGAAGGGGAAAATGATCTGAAGAACTAGCAAATATTGTCCCCATCTTCCATTGAAGGCATGCAACACCATTTATCAAACTGGTCAAAATGTCAGAGAGGACCCAGACTTCTCACTAAGCTTTCATGACCAGGTGGTGTTGGTGATTTAAAATAAAAAAGCCTTTCAACTCCAGCTCACTAGGAAATTTGTACAGCTCAGAAGAAGGGGCCTGCTCATGCTGTTTCAGTACACAAATTACAATTGGTAGGGAAAGTTTACATTGAATATATGTACATTGCTTTAAAAATGAAGTACAAGAATGTACACATGTTAACTGTGCTGCCTGTCCTGGGGACATAGTGAGTGTTGTCCAAATACTAAACCTCACTCAGGTTCCACCGAATGTAGTTTGCTGAAGGTCACATAGCAATTTAGTGTCCGAATCAGAGTTAGAACTCGAGTTCTTGGCCCCTATTCACAGGCTAAACCTTTTAAACAGTTCCTCTTCTACTGAAAATAAGTGTTGAATTTCCAAAAGAGGCAAATTAATCTAGCACTCATCTCTCTATTTGGGAATTTGCATCAAGTTGATACTGGGAAAAGGGCTAAGAAGTGCCTTTTAGGAGAAATCCTACATTGTAGACCACTAAGTAATAGGTGAGAGGTTATCTTCGTATCTTGAGATTAGACTTGTTGGGTGTTTGTTTGGGTTTTTTTTGGGGTGGGGGGGAGAGATTACCATTTATTGGGGGTAGTTTAAAGAAACATGTACAATTTACATTGAAAGCCTTCAGGAGTTTGCTTCCAAGTGCAGTATGTTCCTTATTCTTAATCATCTAAGTGTGGGCTTGTGTGAAACTTATAACATGGTTTCATTTTAGCAAGGGCCTTATTTTATGTTCTCACTCAGAGATATTCATATCCTTGGTGTGACATTGATTTAAATCAGTCTTGGAAAAAGTCAACCTAATTTGAAATTGTGTGCTATTGCAGTTTTAGGTTAAAATGTATGAGCTAAATTGAAAATGCTGTTTAAAACACTACTAGTCTTAAGTAATAGAGTATTTTATATGAATTTCACAAACCTGCTGAATGTAAAACAAAAACAAACTCTTAACACTGTACTTACAATGATTCTATTCAATTGAGGGTTACAAGGAAAAAATATAAGCACATAACTAAATTACTTCAGTGAGAACTATGGAAGTATAGAGATGAAATTTGTGTAAATTGCAATCAAATATAACATATCAACAGAACAATACTAGTGTTATAATGCAACATTTTCAACTATAATTTGAGAGCAAAAATAAGAGTGCCATTACCCAAGTTTCCTTAAGGGTAAGGTGACCATATGTCCCGTTTTGGCTGGGACAGTCTCTTTTTTTAAGCCCTGTCCCAGCCATCCTGACTTTATTGCCGAAAGTGGGCATTTGTCCCATTTGCTCTTGCCAGCTTGATTAGCTGGCAAGAGCAAAAGGGACAAATGCCCACTTTTGTCAAAAAAGTGGGGTGTGGTATGGAGGAACATGCAGGGGGCAAGCTGAGATGCCAGCCTCACACAGGGTGGGGAGGCAGGGCTTTGGGGGGGGGGGGGTGTAAGGGGAAGTTCCAGTGTACGGGTGGCAGTTTAGGGTTTGAGTGACCAGCGACATGAGGGAAGTGGTGGAAATATATGCAGAGTTCATAATCTTACATATAATTAATCGTACAGATTCCCAAATTATCACAGGTGGTCTAACGACAAAGGATGTTAATGAGGCCCTGGGTCCTGTCTTTATTGGTATTGATGAATACAGAGTGTGAAACTTAGAATTTTAGGTTTTATATATATGGATTTAGAGTCTGTTTAAAAAAAAAAAAATAGGAACAACTAAATGTTTCCAAGTACATAATAGCTGCTCTAGGATACAGCTGAAGCAATAATTCTGTATTCTCTACACTTTTCTTCCATCAATATAGTTTTAGTATGAAATAAAAAAATTATTCTTTAATTTTAAAGATGGGGGTAGTAAATAGAATTAAAGATAGAAAAGGTCTGGTAGTCTCTGAAATCCTTTTCTTTCCAGAGTAATTCTATTCACTCAGCATACTTCCTGGCACCTTGTCCAGTCTAACTTTGTCACTACCAATGGGTCTTCCTTCTCTTCCCGAGGGACACTCTTTCACAGTCTCATACCTCATTTTTAGGAAATATCTTTCCTGAATAACTTTTCCTTTCATCCCATTAGTTCTTTCACTCCACCTCCATTTCATTTTGTATTTCCACCATTAATCTGCACACTTACCATGTCCTCTTAGTATTTTAGATAAGCTATCCATAATTTGTCCTTAGTCTCCACTCTCATGCGCAATGTGACTAAACAAAATGCAAAGTGAGTACAGTATAATTAACCACACAAGGTGCAAGGCAATCAAGATGGGTCCATTCCACTTCTAATTTTTCTGATATAGGGTTACCAGATGAGATGAAGGAAAAAATCGGGACACCGGGGGAGGCCCCCCCCCAAAAAAGCAGAGTGCTGCATTGTGGGACTTATCAGGACGTCTGGTCACCCTATTCTGTTCTCTCTACTTTCAGATCTGAGATTTTTTGTTCTCTTTTGAGCTTCCTCTAATTTCTTTTTGATCCTAATGTGGCTAGATGTACACGGTATTGCAAGTGTAGTTGAATCTGATATGTTAAGAAAAGGTGCTGTTGCTTCCCTTCTTGGAAACATGTTGCTTTTGGTTATTCCGTTTTATTCTACCAACGTTTATGGCTTCATGCTTTTAGAATGCCATTTTAAGAAGTCTAGAAACAAACACATCTCCATACTGTCCTAACCTCACTCCCTCTCCACCCTCGTGCTGCCTTCGCCGCCAAACTATAGAATAATCACCTACTGACATGACGTGGCATAGGGGAAGGAAAATTGGACAATCTTGAAAAGAAAAGGGGGGGGGGAAAAGTGAGATGAGTAAAGTAACATTGAATTGCAGTGCGGAACAGCCTATTCATATTCCTGTAGTTTAGGACTGACCAGATGAAAACTCTGTACTGTGCTAGGTTTGGGTCTTATACATCAAAACCATGTAGTGCTGTTCATTCATTAGCTTCCATTTTCTAGAACATTGTGGAAAGTTGGGTAGTAAAGCCACTGTCATCCAAATTTCAGTATGTACTTAATTTTACATTATTTAAATAATCTGCATTGGGTCTTGTAAAATTCATTTGGCCGTCATTAATGACCTAATATATTGAAATTAGGGCAACGTACCTTGTGAACAGGCTTCTTGAGAATTTTGATGTGATGGTGGACGGTATTTCTTACTAACTTTTATTTTGTTTAATTGATTTCCCCTTCATTGGATCTTAGGCTTTTTTGAAGGTGTTTGTATCATTTTTGAGAATATAGGAGAACGTTACCAATTCCTAGAAATTGGGGACCTATAGTGACTTATTGAACTTTGCATCATAGCAAGTATATGAACAAACAAAAAGAGAGTGCATAATGAAATACTGTTTTTCATCCAATTTCTGATATCTAATGGGCTATGTTAGTAAATAATATGTACTGTAATTCACAAAATAGTTTTAATGTGACCTTTCTGCAGCACTCTGTATCATTCAAAGTGGAGTGGCAACCATTTTTGTGTACTAGCTCAAATTCCAATGTACTTCAAAACCAAAAGACTGAATATATTTAGCTATGAAACTAAGTGGCTTGTGGTTTCTAACTGAGAAATATATACAGCATGTAAAGGAAATTTGTGAGCAGTTTAGTGAATTGTTCAAAATAGTTCTCCAGTGAGTAATTACTAGTATGCCAGAACCCCTTCACAAGAAACTGCCGATACCAAGATGCAAACTCCTTTATTAAGTGACAAATCTTCATGTTTTTACAGGGTGCTGATAAGACTGTGAAAGGCCCAGATGGACTAACTGCCTTTGAAGCCACTGACAACCAGGCAATCAAAGCTCTTCTTCAGTGACGGATGGACTGATATAACTAATGTCTTTTCTGTGGCCTCACACTGCTGCCTGTCTGTCACTCTTTGTATCTTCCAGCTTCTTCAGCTAAATACTTTGGGGGGGAAGGGAATTCTCAATGAATCAAACTAACTAGGGGTCTCTATCAAAAAGATCTGTTTGGAGAGAATGGAAATCTATATAATCAGTGTCCTTCAGGATTTGTTTCATGCACAATCTTTTTTTTCCATTTCTAGTGAAAACAAACTTCTGCAGGAGGGAGAAAGAACATGCACTTAAAAATTGGTTGTATGCCTCCCTGGTTAGTTCTATTAAGTTTTGTGTTGAAAGATCAATTTAGACAAAAGTACTGTATTAAGTACTCTAAAATGTTAAGAGGCAGTAGTCCAATGCTGTTAGTGTCTGCCATGATATAAAATGTAGTAATTGAGGTAGTTGGATTGCTTATCTCTTGATAGCTATATCCTTCTGCTTTAAAGCATATGTTGAAATTCTGAAGACTTCTGATACTAGTTAAAGGAGCTATCTCCACCTTGACTAATCAGATGCCACACTAACCTTTTTTGACTCCTTGTAAATCAGGAAAGATCAGTTTAGGCAAGACCTTGTTCTATTCCAAAAGACCTGCCAAGGTACCTTGGTAGGATTGAACTTTGGGATTTCCCTCTCTTTCCCCCCACCCATGTGTTCTAGTCCAGAACTGACCAATCTGACTTGTAATATTTTTGGGTCTGATAAGAAATGTCTCTGCAGTTTACCCTTTTTGGGTTGTCAGTTGGAATTTCCTCATTTACCATGTCAGTGTAAACGATATAGGCACATATGGTGAAAGCTCCAGGCCCTCTGGTACGCAAGAAGAATTTCTCTGCTACCTTAAATGATTTAAACTTCGTGCTGCTGGTAATTATTTAGATATTCTCACTAGAAACAAATATCAAAGTTGCTAAATGTCTTTTGCTATAGTTTCAAAAAATAGTTATATGAAGAGCTTTCTATATTCTACTGTCAGGAAAAGGAAGACTTAAATACAGTTTCACTGAAATCTGTAACTACCACCAGAGAAAAGGTAAGATTTCTTTTTTTCCCAATGAATTTCCTAAGATTCCTCATCAACTGGCTAAAAAAGCACTTTTTTTAATGTCATGAATTCATGGAGAACAGGCTTCTTCTGAAGCTCCTGCTACATTCCTATAGCATGTATGATCCTGCAAATATATTTAAATTTAATCTGGAAGTTAACGTACTAGTAAATATTACAGCAGTAGAACTGATAACTAATGGAAGCAGATTTAAGATTGTAATAAGGGATTCCCACCCCATTCCTCCAATGAAAGTCTGAGCTTTTGATTTTCATCTTTAATTTGCATTAGACACATACCAGCTCACCCAAACAATTCACAGTACTCCATACATTGTATAAAAATATATTTACCTTTTGGGATGTCAATATATGCAGCTTTCAGGCATTATGGTAACATGCAAAAAATGTGCATCATGTTTAATGCAGAGTATGTTTAAACCAAGCAAATCTTATTTTGATTTCTCACGTCTGGGATTGATGTGATATCAGGAGGGTGAGCAATATAGTATTTGGTAATTGCCATCCAGATAAATATATACTGAGACATTTTGGGTTCCTATTTTAACCATGTTGCATAAAATTGAATGTATTTCAATTATAAACAACCCTGTATTTAGAATGTAAAATGAGAACAAACAGAGTTCTATATATGCAGCATTCCCACAGGATAAAAAAATCAGGAATACAGTCATTCTGGCCAATGAGAAACTGTAATGAGCCATTATTGATGGGTTTCTTGGATTTATGGGAGGTATGGATGGCAAAGAGTGGAAAGATTAAATATGTTTTAAAAACTGTAATCAATCACTGAGTAACTGGTAAATGAATGAGCACATTTGACTAACTGTTTTTTATTAAGTCTTTAAATAAAGAACTCTGTAATCTATCTCTAATCAATGCTGGACTATCATCTCATTATGATAGTGTGGACTCTGAATACAAATTCTGACTTTTTGTAAGATATCGCTGAAGTAATTAGTTCTATGTTGGCATAAACTAGTCTCTATTTATGGTATTAAAATAAACTAGTCCAGAAAACTGCAATTTGAAATCTTTTTTTAAAAAATTCAAGTTTGTAGTATCAACAAATTGTGTATCTGGCCATAACATAACCTCCTATTGTCCTTTTTCTCTTTGCCTTAGCCTCCCCGCACTCCTACCTCCTATTAAGTGATCATAATTGTAGCACTGGATCATTTGAACCTTCTTTGTACTAGTTCTTCTGGTGATACAGTGGAGGCTATTTAGCCTTTATTTCCTACAATTATGAAACACTTGCATTTTTCTTGACCTATTTCACATTTAAAAAAAAAAGGCAAACACTCTAACATGACAAGAGTGTGTTTAATTTGATTATAATATGAATCCAAGCCACTTTGCCAGAATAGTTAAAGGGTGATATTTAAATGTATGTTTTTACTAAAGAAGAAAAACTTGTTTGCTTTTTGCACTACATAAAGGGTTGTCATTTTTGTCCAGGTTTTAAGAAATATTAAACACTTTAATCTTTCTGTTTTGTGCATGGACAATAGGTTTGTTCATTCACTTCCTTTTCATCACATTATGTGAGAAATTGCCTGGCTACCTGTTTCTCTCACTAGCCCTTCGATGGGTGAAATTGTCAAATTATAAATTCTTTTACGCACAGGAAACTGTAAAACAGTCAAACACAAAGGCTTAAATATCTTGTCAAAGCCAACTGGAAATGCATACATTTGGAAATCCACATTGTTTTTATTGCTCTCCCTTTCAAATTTGGGTTGAATGTTTTAAAACTAAAATGTATCTTGGATTTTACATCCTCTGCTCCTCTTCCTTATTTAAAATAAATCCTTGAGACTTAAATGGAGCTTCCTCCTCCTTTAATACAATATTGAATGCATTAATTTGTCTATAGAAGAGGCTGGTAAGAGTGGAGTGTCCTAGTTCAAGCAATTGCAGTGTTGCATGCAAAATTTCAAAATGAACGGTCTTAATTATATTTTGTAAATGAAGAAACAATCATATCTTTCTACGCAGTGATGGAAGAAAATTAATGCTTTGTGCATTTTGATATTTAACTTCCTCTTTTCACCAGTGTAGTTATTTTGACACAGTTTGGTTTATCATTGTCATGGTTCATGGACATCAGAATGCTAAATGATACTGTATTTTTAAGTTTGTTGCAAGAGTGAATGAATGAAATAAACTTGAATTGTGCTACAGAAGAATCGACAACTTTATTTCACTACACACTCTTCCTATCTGTATTTTCTGTTAATCTCTGCTCAGACCTACATAGCTGTTTAGCTCTAGTTGTTCAGTTTAACTGGCACTGTGCAGAGTACCTTCAGCTATATTAATACAATAATGTGGACAAATCTGAAGGCTGGCTTACATGAATGCTGTAAATTGATCTAAGTTACTCTAGTTGATGTAACTTAGGTCTATTTACAGCGGTGTTTGTGCTGCACTATGTCAATGGGAGACGCTCTCCCATCGATACAGCTTCCGCCTCTCCAGGATGTGGAGTACAGACATCCACAAGAGAGTGCTCTCCCATCAACTTAGCGTCTTCACCAGACCCGCTAAATGGACACCACTGCATTGATCACAGCAGTGCCAGTTTAGCTGGTAGTGTAGACATGGCCTGAGAAACCAGTTTTGCTCTTGACTGGCCACTAGTCTTAATATTAGCTACATATGATTTCGAGCACATAAATGCTGTCTCTTCTCCTACCCCTTCCCTTTCTCTCCCCAAACCACCATCCCACCCCCCCAAAAAAGTTTTGGACTGAATGAACATGGAGACTCCCATAGACTTTCACTGGTCAATACACAATTTGTCATATTGAAATTTGCTGCTTTAACGGAATGCTTGCATTGCACTGGCTTCAACTCTTATTTGCCTGAAAGGCAAAGAGACTCCACTTCACGTTTTGTGACAACTCAGAATTTAAGAGATTAAAAGGAATATTAATAAATACATGGAACCAGAGACTGGTATGGAAACAAAGTGCAAGTGTACTTTCCAAACTAGATCAATGTCCACTTTGAAAGAAATGTTATTTTATGAATCCTTTGCTCCCAGAGCCTGTACTTTCCCTGTTAAGTAGTAATGCATGGTGCTAAAGGCTTGCTGTCCCTGAAATCCGTTTACTGTATATTGCCTTCTAGAGTGGATTAAAAGGACCTTGGAGAAAACCAAACTTTTCCTGCCTCAATTGTCCTTCAGGAGTAATGCAGTTCCTTCCTTCCTCAACTTTACTGTCCAGAACATTTGAGTGAAAAGCTCATTTAGGTATAGCTGGAGTGTATGTTGATGTTGCATATAACTTCACATTTTGTATTGATTTCTGTATCTTTATAAGAAAGCACTGATAACACAAATAATTTTAATAGTTAATACTGTTCCTTGTAGTAGGAGAAATCTAGGTCTCATTTAAATTTTGTCCAAAACAAATTCAGTTTTTAAATGCACGTATTTTAAAAGAAATAACTTATGGTACAGAGTGGTATTTCTTATAATGAAATAGAATATTGTTATAAAAATTATAAGGGACAAACTAGTATTCCAAAATGAGAAGCTTCACTTAGACTTGGATTTTTTTTTTGTAGTTTTCTATTTTGAAATCATAAACTTATCTGCTAATGCTGTATGCACAGCTTGCTTCTTAAAAAGTGGTAAATACACGTGGGACACATTCACCACACATTGTTAGCATTCCAAAGCAGTTCAAATGGTGCCACTGCCAGTGACAATTCATAATTGTATGGGTATGTATGCACTCATTTGACATTCAGATGTTTATAAGATAACTTGCAGAAGCTTAACCCACGTCAGCCTATTTCTACTTGGCTAAGGAAGGCAGAACCTCATTTTCTGAATAAACATACTTAGAGTACATCCAAGGAGGATAACACAAAGGGTATTTTTATGTTGGTAACTAATATCTTGAAAGGGCACTGTTAGTGGAAGTTAATTTTAACATATAGTGCCAGTCAACCCAAAGTGCTTTTCTACTCTATAACAGCAAAATTCAGCCACCTTTGGGGAGGACAGCAGCCAAGTTACTGGCCCATAATATATGGCAGTGTTTCTCAACCTTTTTTCTTTGACGCCGCCCCCGCCCCCCCCCCCCCCCACATGCTATAAAAACTCCATGGTCCAGCTGTGCCACAACAACTGTGTTTCTGTATATAAAAGCCAGGGCCAGTGTTAGACTCGCTGGGGCCCAGGGCAGAAAGCCAAAGCTGTACCACATGGGGCTGAAACCCCTGTGGCTGCAGGTGAAACCTGAGCAATGTACCTTTGCCGGGCCCCCTGGGGCATGACGCCCCCGGC